CTCACTGGAAGGACAGATCCCGAAGCTGAGGCTCCAAGACTTTGGCCACCTCAGGAGAAGAGAAGACTCCCTGGAAAAGACCCTGATGCTGGGAAAGATGGAGGGCGCAAAGAGAAGGGGACGACGGAGGACAAGATGGTTGGACAGTGTTCTCGAAGCTACCAGCATGAGTTTGACCAACTGCGGGAGGCAGTGGAAGACAGGAGTGCCTGGTGTGCTCTGGTCCAGGGGGTCACGAAGAGGCGGACACGACTAAATGACTAAACAACAACATGTCAGTGATCCTTTGCCTGGGATTCTTGCATTGCAGGGGGTTAGACTAGATTATGGTTACCAGATTTTGCTTAGTTTATGCAGAAATCCGGCACTGATGGAGCCAGGCTGCTTTAGCTGCCACTGACTGTGTTTTGCAGGGGGTTGGACTAGATGACCCTAAGGGTCTACAACTCCCACCAAAGAAGAGCGGCAGACAAAACTGATGAACCACGTCAAGATGGCAAAGCTTACAGGCAGAATTAGAAACCAGGAAGAGGACCTCTTTAATAAAGAATGGGGAAAGTTTATAATTTAGTTGAAAAGCTATCGTAAAGAGTTACATACATTGGTAGGATTGACAGAAAACTATGGATGGACAAATGATTCATAAAAATAGAGTTATGAAAGGGATGCAGAGGGGGAAATCACTACATTAAGATGCTGCACTGGTTGGAGGGGATGCTAAGCAGCACGTCGGGGCTGCCGTCGTCCTGGCGCGAGGAGTTCCATCGGCCCTTCCCCGCCCGAGAGAGAGGGAGGGAGGGAGACTCTCGCCCACGCCACCCGTGAGCCCGGCATGAGGCAGTTGTGCCGCCCTTCTGCGTCCCTCCCCATCCCCTCCTCTTCCTCCTCCCTCAGGCGCCTCCTCAGCCCCCGCTGCCACCTCCGGCTTCCCCTGGCAGCGCGGTGGAAGTCTCGCAAGAGAGGGGCTGCCTGCCCGCCCGCCGCCACCTGTCTCCTCAGGATGCGCCCCCGAGGGGGAAAAGGGAGAGACAGAGACGTGGCAGCTCGTGCGCGCGCTCTCTCTCGCATCAGAGGACCCTGAGCCGCTGCTTCCCTCCCGAGCTGGGCGAGCGTGAAACCCGGGAAATTTAAGGGACATCATCAATAAGGGGCAGCAGCGGGAAACAGCACTGGGATAAGGGAGTTTCCCGCCAAGTAAGGGACGGTTGACACCTATGGCCTCCAGCTCCAGGAGCAGTCTATCTCGACCCGTAGCTCCTGTGGGACATTGGGCCGCTGCGAAAACAGGGTGATGGACCAGATGGGCTGTTGGCCTGATCCTGCCCCTTCCTGCTAAGCGGTGAGCGAAGCTCCAGCCTGTTCCTTCGTCTGGTAGTGGGAAGTCCTTTATGAGAAAAGGAACGTGCTCCGTTCCACAGCAGAAACATGATCTGGCGGGGTGGGGAGCTGGAGTGGGGGAGAACCGCTGATTTTTTTGCCGACGGCAGCAGAATAACCCGAGCCAGCTAGCAGCCGAATCGTCCCCCGGGAGCCATGTACCGAGTCTGCAGCGCTAATCAATTTGCTCGGAAGTTGCAAGCGAACGACGCGCGCCTTTACTCGGAAACAAGTCCCGCTCCACTCGGCGGGGGCTTAGACCACAGAAAGGTGCCCAGGAGAAGGGGGCAAGGTGCGGCCCGCCCAATAATAATAATAATAATAATAATAATAATAATAATAATAATTTATTTATACCCTGCCCATCTGGCTGGGCTTCCCCAGCCACTCTGGGTGGCTTCCAACAAAGATTAAAAATACATTAAAATGTCACACATTAGAAACTTCCCTGAACAGGGCTGCCTTTAGATGTCTTCTAAAAGTCTGGTAGTTGTTGTTCTCTTTGACATCTGGTGGGAGGGCGTTCCACAGAGAGGGTGCCACCACCGAGAAGGCCCTCTGCCTGGTTCCCTGTAACTTGGCTTCTCGCAGTGAGGGAACCGCCAGAAGGCCCTTGGCGCTGGACCTCAGTGTCTGGGCTGGACGATGGGGGTGAAGACGCTCCTTCAGGTATACTGGGCCGAGGCCGTTTAGGGCTTTCAAGGTCAGCACCAACACTTTGAATTGTGCTCGGAAACGTACTGGGAGCCAATGTAGGTCTTTTGACCCAAGACATTTTGACCCTTCAGACAAAGCAGACATAAAAACGCGAGAAGAGGAATGCAGGAATCTGCCTTAAAGTGGGTCAGCCCCTTTGTATAAAATGCATAATCTATTGTAGGAGTGGCATACAAAGGATGAACAAGTGAAATCTGTGATGATAGACTGGTCAAGAGACGTGGGACAAAACATAATGTTTGAAGACTGGGAAAGGTTGTGGAGGAAAGGGGTCAAGTTCACTGCATATACGGTGTTAAAGGAAAATATTATGAAAATGAGGTATAGATGGTACTTAACTCCTGTAAAATTAGCAAAGATATGCTGGAAATGTAAAGAAAAAGAAGGTACCTTTTATCATATGTGGTGGACCTGTCCCAAGGTGAAAGACTTCTGGGAGAAGATTTATAATGAATTGGAAAAAATGCTGAAATATACATTTACTAAGAAACCAGAGGCCTTTCTTCTTGGAATAACAGGTCTGGAATTGCCCAAGAAAGATGTTAGATTGTTTTCGTATGCCACAACTGCAGCTAGAATTTTGTTAGCTAAGAACTGGAAAACACAAGAAGTCCCAACAGTGGAGGAATGGCAGATGAAGATGATGGATTTTTCGGAGCTAGCCGACCTGACCGGAAGAGTCCGCGACCAGAAGGAGGAGGAAAACCAGAAGGAATGGATGAAATTCAAAGAATATTTACTTAAATATGCTAAGATAAGTCAATTGGAAAAACTTGCAAATACCAGATAGGTTTAGGATTGAAATATGTGATGTTAGAGAATAATATGATTAAAGTTAAAATGAAAAGATAGAATGATGTTAAGTGATTAAGTTAATTTTATGAGGAATTTGGTTTTGGAAAACTGTTACAATGATATACACTGAAACTCAGCCGGGGGGATGCGAGGAAGTCACTTAACAATGTTACTAAGACTGGATTAAGTATAGTTAAGATTTATGTTTGTTTGTTCAAAAATTTTGGAAAATCAATAAAAAAATTTGAAAAATAAAATAAAATTAAGTGGTTCAGCCCCTTGCTCCATCTAGCTAGCGCTGTCTGCACGGGCTGGCAGGGTTTCAGGAAGGAGTGGCTCCCAAAATGTCAGGGAGCTGTCGAGCGAGGCCAGCTCGTCCACAGGGCAGGGACAGAATGCAAGGAAATTTTTATTAATAGAAAATAACACAGCAGAGTCCCTTGGTTCGTCTTTTTCCCCTCATCCATTTTTTTTTATTATTATTCATTTTATAACACAACTAAACAGAAAAGTAGGGACGCGGGTGGCGCTGTGGGTTAAACCACAGAGCCTAGGACTTGCCGATCAGAAGGTCGGTGGTTCGAATCCCCGCAACGGGGTGAGCTCCCGTTGTTCAGTCCCTGCTCCTGCCAACCTAGCAGTTCGAAAACACGTCAAAGTGCAAGTAGATAAATAGGTACCACTCCGGCGGGAAGGTAAACGGCGTTTCCGTGCGCTGCTCTGGTTCGCCAGAAGCGGCTTAGTCATGCTGGCCACATGACCCGGAAGCTGTACACCGGCTCCCTCGGCCAATAAAGCAAGATGAGCGCCACAACCCCAGAGTTGGCCATGACTGGACCTAATGGTCAGGGGTCCCTTTACCCTTTTAAACAGAAAAGCAGACAATAGAAACAAATTCTTATCTTACCCTTATTTTTTCTAAACATTGTTAGGTGAGCTTCCCCAAGTCCCCCCCATCTGATTTTCATTTTACCTCATCTTTAGCAGTTTACATATATCATAATTTCCCACCATTTTTTAACCATAAAAATCCTGACATTTTATCACTTGCAAATAATACTATTTTAAAATACATTATCTTCTACTTCTAACCCTACAGCCTATATCCACTTCCAAAGCTATTCTCAGATTTAAATACTAACATATTTTTTTCAAATATTATTTAAACTTCTTCCTAATTCGTCTTAATCCAGCGGATTAAGTTGCTGAAAGTGGCCACGACTTCCTTCCTTCCCTTTCTAGCCTCTCACTCAGGATCCCCCCCCCCCAAGCAGACGAGAGGGGCTTGAGATCCTCCTTCAGGGCCTGTCTGGCTCAATGCTCAGCAAGGTTCAGAATTCGAACGGGGCGCCCGAGGGGGGAGGAGAGCCGGAAGGCCTGGGACTGTCCTGCTGCTGTGTACACAGCACTTAACACCGGTCTTGAAAGACCTATATTGGCTCCCAGTATGTTTCCAGGCACAATTCAAAGTGTTGGTGCTGACCTTGAAAGCCCTAAACGGCCTCGGCCCAGTATACCTGAAGGAGCATCTCCACCTCCATCGTCCAGCCCAGACACTGAGGTCCAGCTCCGAGGGCCTTCTGGCGGTTCCCTCACTGTGAGAAGTGAGGTTACAGGGAACCAGGCAGAGGGCCTTCTCGGTGGTGGCACCCGCCCTGTGGAACGCCCTCCCACCAGATGTCAAAGAGAAAAACAACTACCAGACTTTTAGAAGACATCTGAAGGCAGCCCTTTTTAGGGAAGCTTTTAATGTTTGATGCATTACTGTATTTTAATATTTGGTTGGAAGCTGCCCAGAGTGGCTGGGGAAACCCAGCCAGATGGGCGGGGTATAAATAATAAATTATTATTATTATTATTATTATTATTATTATTATTATTATTGACTCCTCTCTGTCTAAGTCTGCACTCCCAACTCTCAGCCTCTAGCCCTGTCCTGGAAGACCCTCCTTCTCCTGACCCTCCTTGATCACTCACACATACACACCCCTGCTTCTAGCGCTTCCCCAAACTGCTCCCCAGTGTCCCACCACCAGGATCCGGGATCTAAGTCCTCATCTTCCATGTCTTCCCTGGAGCACTCCCACCCCTCTTCCTCATCCAGCCCTACCTGGTGATGTCGGCAGGAATTGAACCCAGGGCCTTCTGCTTGCAAGGCAGATGCTCAACCCAGTTAGCTATGGCCCTTCCCTAATCTCCTGCTCTAGTTACCTCTCGCTTGGACTACTGCAATGCGCTCTACATGGGGCTACCTTTGCAGGTGACCCGGAAACTGCAACTAATCCAGAATGTGGCAGCTGGACTGGTGACTGGGAGCAGCCGCTGAGACGATATAACACCGGTCCTGAGAGACCTACCGTATTTTTTGCTCTATAAGACTCACTTTTTCCCTCCTAAAAAGTAAGGGGAAATGTGTGTGCATCTTATGGAGCGAATGCAGGCTGCGCAGCTATCCCAGAAGCCAGAACAGGAAGAGGGATCGCTGCTTTCACTGCACAGCGATCCCTCTTGCTCTTCTGGCTTCTGA